GTGCGTAGTTGGTTGTGGACGGAAGCTGGTAACAAGGTTACCGCTCCTGGGAACTTATGATGTAACGTAACGATATAGGCAGCTCTCAGCTGACGTATTGCTTATCAACAAATGGTTAACTTAACCCTCTGATTAATGAACGATATAATCAGTTTGTTCTATATCTTAGCCAAATCTTAGTCATTTCTCGCTCTATGATTGGTCAATTTTTGGTCCGTGGCGTAATGTATGAACTGATTTTCAAAAGGAACATGTATTCCTTCTCCTTTAATTTTGCTGCTGCAACTAACAAGTCGATCTCGACAGAAAAAGCCATTAAATGAAGTGTAATTGTAATTTTTAGTCTTTCCAATTCTTATAAGGCGCATTGGTCTGTTTGCTCTAATAATAATAATGATGATGATAATGATAATGATAATGATAATGATAATGATAATAATAATAATAAAACAATCAGGTGCATATTTCTTGTTCTACTAAAAAAAAGCCATATAATAAATATCTTTTAAAAAATAACCATTATTTTCGCAGCCCGTATAGTCCATTACTCTTTCTTGCATGAGAATTTATGGACTAGGGACCATATTATCCAACAACGTTGACGTCCGTGAAAACGTCTCTGAAAAAAAGACTTGTTATCCATTTAAACTTTTTCGCGATTATCCCAAGTCGTTCTGTTACTTAAAAGAAGGGAATTTAGGAAGGAGCCGAGGAGAGTGGAACCGCACCCCAAGATGGTAAAATTTATCGCTTTTCCGTTCCCGTTCTCAAGTCAACTTGGTCATTTCACGTCGTAGTCGTGCAGGGACGACAAAGAAATGTAGAGAAAAGCGTGTTGCGCGTGCAGAGTTGTTGAAGAACTCATTGCACCTATTGATTTTTAACGTTCCCGTCGCCGTTGTAGTTTCGTTAGGTCCCTACTCAGGAGGGACAGGCATACCAATTTTGTAGTTAACGGTAACGAATGTATTCATATTAAACACCTTGACTAAAATTATCTTTAGTGATAGCCACGCCAATTGAATTCTTTTGTTCTTTCAGGAGGGTGATGATGGCGATGATGATGATGTGTTCGATGGTGGTGATCGATCAGGAGATGTACCGGGTGGAGATTTCACCCAAGGAGAGTTTCCCATGTCTCAGGATACCACCTTTGGTGACTCCTCGTCCCAGGCTCTTAGCTTCACGAACGAGAGCGTAGTGGATCAGACGCTCTTTACAGGGGATGGCCTGGTTGCGCAGCCTAATAAGGTACTGTTGTACATCAACTTGTGGACCAATCAATGAATAGGCCATTTCCCAGTTCCAAAGACTCCCACTTCAAAACAAGGCAAAGTGCAAACCTTTCTTGTAAAAATGATTTTTGCATGAGATTAGTATAGGTAATGGCATGATTTGTAGTGATATTTGGCATAATTACCACGAGTGATATTTCGAAATTGTTATACGTAATTTCACGAGCCGTTAGGCGAGTGAAATTTGAGACAATTTTGAAATATCACAAGTGGTATTTATGCCAAATATCGCGTACAAATCATGCTATTATTTGTTTATACTACTACCCACACAAGGTTTGTAATTTTCACATGTAGGTATTTCAAATTAAGCTGAACTACCACTGCTCTAAGCCAAACAAATTGCAGAAATTTCTCAAGTAGTACTATAAAATAATTAATTAAAATCATTTTTATATCAATGCCTTCGCACTCAGCGTCGCTTTGAAACAGAAGCTCGAGGCAACTATTACTTTTTCATTCATGACACGTATTTAAAGCCTAAAGCTTAGGGTTAGGTACTTCATTGATGGAAAAGCGACAACGGTTTAGTCAAGTTCGTCGCCTTCAACCTCAGGGCTTCGCCTTGTCTGTTTAATCCTTCTTTCATTACTTTAGGTTAATTGTTAATTGTTCGGAAAGAGCGGGGAAGTTTCCCCGGTGGTGTGGTCTACCTACCTCTGTTATTACTTTATCACACATGTCTTACAGTAAGCTCTTAAATTGACCGATAGCAGCAGCTAGTGTCTTTCTTGTAGCCCATGCTGACGTCTGAGTTTTCTTTTCATATTATTATATAATGTAAATAGGACGCGCACTTTTGTCCTTTCCTCCTCGGCTTATTACAACATGATCATAGTCTCTTGTTTGACCACAGTAGGTTAGAAGAAATGAAGGGAACGAATTTTGTTTTGTCTGTCTTGCTTTCGTATTTGTTTTCTCTAAAATTCGTGAATAGTACCTTTTTTTAACTCGGAGCTAATTGTTGGGTTAGTTGTTAATTCTATCGCTTTATTCTCCCAGGTTCAGAAAATCGATATTGGATATGCTAAAACCGCGAAAAAGATGGACGTAAAAAGGCTAAAGAGCGTTATGTGGGGTCTTCTCACTGATAATAATCAGGAAAACAAGGTTTGTGAATTTTGACTCCTCATTACAGCCTTATACTAAATTACGTTAACTCCTTTTCCTGCTTGAGATGATATTTTTAAAAGTCGTTGGCGGAAGTTTAGACCTATGTTTTAGCCCAAGATGCAGATGCTTGTGATGAGTACCATAAGTAAACAGTCATTAAGAGCCCTAGCCTGTGCCAGGCTGTCAATCAGTATAGACGAGCGAAAAAAGCGCGCGAGAGGGGGTGGGGTGGACACTAGCTTACTTAGAGGACTGAAATCTCGGTTAATCTTTCAATTTTTTTTTGTCACGTGAATCCATTGTAAAGGAATAATAAAGACGTGTGTTTTCGCTAAATTGGAGAGTAGGAGTTCAAAGACCAAACGGATAAAAAATTTACATTGATCTTTAACGTTGTGGACCTCTTTGTACCGTTTGACCACTTTTGGAATATTACTCTTCACGGGAGCGTATTAAATACCCAAAAAAACTGTGCAGCAGTTGCGATGCATGCATCTTCGTTTACCTGAAAACCTTTTACTGTGCTTGCAGGAAAATGTTCCTGTAGACGAGCAAAGGAACGAAAAAGAAGAAAGCGAGGTCTCGCAAATTTGCTCGTTCAAAGAACTGTACGATAAACTGCCTGGCAAACTTTCTAAGAACATGTCCAAGAACTTGTCAGTGTCCATCGCTTTTGTTTGCATTTTGCATCTGGCAAATGAGAAGGTAAGCTTTGTTCTTCTAGGTGTACCACTCAAGGCAGATGGCAACTATAGGTACTTCTACAAGTGCGTAGCAAATCCGGGTTGGTACTTTTATAATGGCCTATACGGGTAGGCTCCTCTCGAAAGGGGTACCTTTTTCAGTCTTCATTTATGTAAAAATGTGGGAATTTTACTGATCGAAGTATACCAAAGAGTTAGGAAATCTGTCTATTTGGTCTGTAAAAGACTTAGAAGGGCTAGCTAGCTAGGTATGTGAAAGATCCCATTTGTCAATAGAAGGTATACCTTAGCTTTTGTGTCAAAAATGGTATGTAAAAGGGTAAGGGGTTGGACCTTGGGGCGGAGCTTCCCCCCTCCCCCTTACAAAACTTTGTGGAGTTCTCACGGGGGGGGGGGGGGCAAAAAAGTTTGGGAATTTTTAAAAGCGCCCAAAAAAAAAAAAAAAAAAAAAAGGGTTTTGGGCCTTTTTTCCAGGGGGCCCTTTTCCGGGGGGCAAATTTTTTTTTTTTTTTAAAAAACGGGGGGTCATGGGGAGGGCCCCAAACTTTGGGGCGTTCCCACACCCCTTTTTAAAAGTTAAGAAACCTGTCTATTTGGGTTTAAAAAAAGTTTAAAGGGCTATGTGGCAGTGTATGTGAAAGGACCCCTTTGACAATAAAAGGCTTCACTTAGTTTTTTTGTAAAAAAAGGTTTTTAAAAGGGTTAGGGGTTTGGCCTTGGGGGGGGGGTTCCCCCCCCCCCCTTAAAAAAGTTTTTGGGGTTCCCCGGGGGGGGGGGGGGGGAGCAAAAGAGTTGGAAGTCATTAAAACGTCGCATAAAAAAATACAGAAGAACAATGGATTATGGTCCTTATTCCGAGTCGGCCTTTTCGCGGGCGACAATTCGTTTTCTTTTTGAATAACGCAGGGAGTCATGGGAAGGACCGCAACTTCGTGCGCTTCTCAACCACTCTTGTATCTAAAGTATTGACCTCACTTCGCTAGTAGCAAGGTTGTTTTTCCCCTCTCCATGAGTTTTCTGATGATCCTTTCTAAATAATTCTCCTCTTATCATTTCTGTATTCTTTTCTTTCCTAGTGTCTAAAGATGACTGGAGATCCAGGAATGTCAGACTTTTTCATTTCACAGGATGTATAATTTTTCATACAGGCAATACAATATTAATCTTATTTTCCGTTTTTAACAAATGCTATTAGACTCGAGAAAGAAGTCTGGAAACAGAATTGAATCATTTCAGGGTGTGTCAAATGTACCACAAGTTTCGAAATTTGCAAACTTTGGTTGTAGTAAGTAAAACAATGACTTCGGCAAAGGTCTTCGACAACCTGTGATCAAACTGAAATAAAGAGTCAAAGTCTTACTCCTTGATCTTTTCTGAGTTGGAGACCGTTTTCTTGGGTGTTTCTTTGTGTTGCGAGAACCAATGTTGGTCAGCTTTTGGGTCGGTGTTAGACAAAATGCGCAGAGAAACAAGATATTTCTTTGACCAGAAATTTTCAATGAAATCTCCCACTATCCACCCGTCTTTCCATAAGGGTAATTTTCGAAAACATTTTGCGCTAAAACTAAGCCTATTAAACGCCCAGCAAAGGAGTAAGAGTTGGGAAGAAGGGCAAACGTAGCTGGAGGAGAGAAAATCGAGAAATGTTGCCTTCTAAACATACCCGACCTTGCAAAACAAAAGTCAGTGGCTCTAACAACAGAATGTAACTAAAGCTTCCACTCTGCTCGTAGAGAAACTTTTTGGCAGTTTTGCATGAGTTTTGGGTCCGTTTTTTCAAATACCTACTAGCATTTTCGGCAAAATACGTTATTTCGTGAGTATGGAACTCAACTGTTTCTGATGCTAATCAACCTATAGCTTTTGTTTCAACCACTCTACAACGGCCACCTTCTTCTGTCTCCAAGGTGGCCGTTTTAGAGAGGCTCAACAGTAAATTGTTCAACTTGATTGGGCGAGGCAAAAAACTTTAAATAATTTATTACATGTGGTTAAATATTATCCATAGCAGGTCGTGACACCTGATATCATTATAATTCAAGTTACTATCCACCTATTATTTTCTTCGTTGTTATTACTCTGAATTAACTTAAAATCGAACTCTACTATTGATCAAGTCGGAACCAAATGCTAGGGAGATCACTTGTTTCACCTGGAACTTCACCAACTTAAGCGAAAATTAATCGAGATTTTTCCTGAATCTAAATTCCTTCTCTGTGAATTAATGTAAATTCATTTCAGTTTTGAAAAGCCAATAACTATTCGAATTTGGCAATTAAATACCATTTACAATTGTACTTAGGAAATAGAAATAAGTCTAACACTGCCTAGACTAGGAACAGTCTCTTGTACTAGTTTTCGTTTTCTTTTTCGTAACGTTACATCACAGTGAATGCGAGATAAGTCTACAAGAAATCTAAAATTTGACGAGAAAAAGCATCTAGATAGCGTAAGAAATGGACAATTTGCAGTCATTTTTCATCGAAAAACTCGTGAGCATGCACCGTCTTCTTGTGCACTCGAAGAGAACTCGGTTGGGTGAAAGACTTATTGCAGAAATCACAGACAAAGGGCCGTTCCCCTGTGTGAGTCCTTATATGTGACTTGAGAGCACCACGGTCTGCAAAAGCCGAAGGACAAGCCGGGCATGGATACGGCTTCTCTCCCGTATGACACCTTACGTGACGCTTTAACCCACTGGAATGGGTGAACTTCTTGAAGCAGTGGTTACACGAGTATGGCCGATGACCGGTATGGATGCGCACGTGAACGTGCAGGCTGCTATAAGAACTGAAGTTTTTCTCGCAGTGTTTACATTTGTACTTCTTTTTCTTGGTCTTTTTAGGAGATTCATCGTTTGTACCCTGAGTAGTTTCTTTCTTGACGTTCGTTGCAGCTTCAGCAGCGTCACTAAGACCCTGAGTGCCTTTAAGTTGACTATCCTCAAGAGCGCCAAGGTTCGCCTCTTCGGTTTGATTCACGCTCGGAGTGCCCTCGCTGTGAGAACCGTTTGCCAATACCAAGTCATCGCGCAGTTCACTGTCTCTCTGATCATCTTTAGACCGACTCTGCGTCCGCATTCCTACGTTGCTACTTTGCTTGAAACTGCACAATATTCTCGCTGTATCATGCTTCTCTAATTCTCCCTGGGAAGAATAACCCTCCTGATCAGTCGGCTCTGTTTCAATCTGTGTCTCAGTCTCGTGAAAAGGAGAGTTCTTAGTTGTGTTTGCGCCATCGTTTTTCTTTACTTGCTCGGCGACGGTATCAACATCAAGTTCCTCGTCGCTTGCCCACCCATTCTGCTCCTTGTGTGTCTTCATATGCGACCGAAGATACCTCGTCTGTATGAAGCCCTTACCACAAACTCCACATTTATGAGGCCGGTCTTCAGTGTGGGTCATTTTATGATAATAGTAAGAGCTGTAATAGGGAAAGGACCGTCCGCACAACTCACATTTGTGAGGCTTAAAGCCCGTATGGCTGCGCGTGTGGATTTCCAGCTTGCGATGATGGTCAAACGACTTCTGGCACAACGAACAGCAGTATCGGCCATTTTGGTCAACCACCGCGTGCGACGAGATGTGATGCTCCAGTTTCTTGCCACTGGTAAACGACTGCCCGCAAACGAAGCAGAAATTCGAACCACTGTCACTGTCATTTTCGCGTCTCTCGTTGCCGAGTTTCAAGCTGTTGACACGGCTTTCTCGTTTCACATCCACGCCATTTGGTTTCAGATTCTCCACGGGGTTTTCGGAAGTCCGCGTTTTTAACTCATTCAGGAGGGGTTTTCGAAGCTCCCCTGGGGTATCTGCCAGTTTAGGTTCGTCCCGTAAGACTGTTTCCTTCTTCGGTGTAGTTTCCTTTGCTACAGTGGAGTTGAGTTCGTGTCTAATGACGGTTTCCCCTTCGTGAGGAAGAGACGAACGACGATCTAATCTTAAACGCTTTCTCTGAATAGCCAGGAGTTCATCACCACCTTCGTGCGACATCAAGTGCTCCAGGAACTCCGAGCGACTGGAGAAATTCTTTTCGCAGCGGAGACACTGAAGCTCTTGTGCAGAGCCGTGATAGCAGTCCAAATGAATCTTAAGGAGTTTCTTATGCCCAAAGTAAATCCCGCAGTGGTGGCAAGTAAAATCCCGCGGGTGTTTTCGCCTCGGCTGGTACCCTTCTTTGAGCTGGCGGAGTCGCCCTGATGCTGCAGCGAGGGCGCTTTCAGTTTTCTCACAATTGTTTACGTTATTTCCAGGAGGATTTTTAATTGGTTCGGGGGCCGCACGACTCCGAGGCTCGGCAAGGGGTTTTACTAGAGCTCCGAGTTCAGGAGCGCTAGCTCTTCTCCTAAGGGACAAAGAATGTAGAAGAGCCTCTTTTGTGATGTTGTTGATACTCTCTCGAGATGGTAATTCTGGCGGATCCCTCGGGCTATCCCGAACAGGGCTTGAAGGCACTGCTGGCTCTAAGTCTGGTCCCCATCTTGAGGACTGCAAGGTAGGTTTCTGGGTAGGGAATGGTAGCATCCTCGGGTATCTAAGAGCTGAATTTGCTGAAGCAGTGCGGGTTACGGGACGATGTACTCTCAGTAAACCTGCGTCCGACGTTTGTGCGAAGCTATGGGATATTCCAGGATGAACTACAGGGATCAAAGGAGGGGGCCCACCAATTGGTAAGCCATCCCGGTCCCTCTTCGCTTTACCTAATATGGGATGCCTCGTGACCTCGTCGGATCGGCTAGTTCTTTCGTATGCAGAAAAGGCTGAAATCCGAGCTGTTGTAGCCTCCTCCGAAGAAGCTGGCTTCTTCGAGACGAAATCACCTTTTACATTTCCTGGCGAGAATTCCTCTCTCTCGTCCTGTAGCCGTCTTTTGACGCCCAAATGTTCGCGGTCATGTCCTACATCCTCGTGACATTTTGGTAGAAATATTCTCGTTTTGGACTCTGGAACTGTAAAAAGGTTCCCTTTTATTTTACGATACCAATCACCTTGTTCTTGAGACGTAATAGTTTCTTGTTTTTGATGGCGGAACACCCCATAACTTGGAAACAATCGATTAACGAAAGGTCTTAAGTCGTCAATTTGGCTTTTCATTGGATGTAAAACCTGATCGCCTCGCTCCTTGACTTCACCGTTGTCGCCCAAATCACGGCTGATTCCACTACGATCCCTTGCCAATAACATAGGGCCCTGAGAGCGAAATCGACTCAAGTTTTCACCAGGCACCGGCGCGCTAGACATTCGTCGGAGAGGTTTATGCTCCTTTCTTATGTCTTTGGTTCCTTTTAACGAAGTTTCGTGAGAAGTCACGTGACTGACAAACTCCGAGCGGTTACCAAACGATTTTCCACACTGGTAACACTGCAGAACGTCCAAAGAGCTGTGATACGAGTTCATGTGAATCTTTAACAAGTTCTTGTGATCGAACTGCAGTCCGCACTCGGAGCAGTGAGGTCTTTTATGGCGACTTTCCACGTGAGCCTTGAGCTCTCGCCAATCGGAAAATTGTTCGCTACATAGCGTGCAAGGAACGGACAAATTTCGGGACGGGGCTTCCTTGTAAAAAGGTGGGCTTGTACGAGATATATGTGAGAACATCGGATCATCAGTATCTCTACCAGGACTTGCTCTTTTCTGAACTTCACGTTCGAATTCATGGGTTTCGTCATCAGTTGACCTGTCTTCTCGTCTTGCCTCCATTTTGATTCGCAGACTTGACTTGAGCTTTTCGAAGGCTTTACTTTCTGGACTCATATCATTTTCCGCCTTGTTCAGCTCATCTCCCTTTTGATGCGATATCAGGTGATGAAGGTATTCCATCTTAGACAAAAATTCCTCTTGACAACGATTGCAGCGCAGTGTGGTAACACGCTTTGCCGAGCGTGCCCTGGGACTGGTCGACTCGGAGTCACCGCTCTCGTCTCCCGACATCGTTGAAGCGGGCGATTCCGCGTAAGATCCTGACGGAGACCGTGGGCTTCCTTTGGAACTAGCATCCCAGTCAGTAACAATAAGGGTAAATTTGGGTGTCTCTTGCGTACATTCTCGGAGTTCCTTCACTTTATGTTTGCTATGTGTAAGGGGTGGTGAGGCGCTACCAGTGGTAACAATAACAGAGGATCTCCGTGGCCGAATTGGGTTTTGCCACTCAACGGCGACTGAGGAAACACCTCTTTCCTTTTTAACATCTCCCTCACTGCTTCCGCTATCAGTATTTAACAAAAAGCTTTCTGTTTCTCCCTTACATTGGTGAGGTGACCTGGAACATTGCGGTTGACCTCGACAATTCACGTGGCTCTCTGTTTGGTCTTGTTTTTCTGGTGCCACAGGGCTCTCTGCCTCCCTTAACCCGGGCTCAAATCCTTTATCAATGTCTTCTATCTCAACATCACTGCTACCTTCATCCCTGGAATCACTGCTATCATGCGACATCGCATCATCATCGTCATCCCATTGGTTGGTAACAACTCCATTTGCCTCGTCGCGGCTTTCGTCCTCCTTCACTTGTCGCATTTCCTCGTCAACTTCACTGTCCACATTTCCCTGATCTACAGTGGCAATGCTTTCTCCGCACACACCTCCAGCCACCTCCTGTTCTGCACTCCCTTTGGATTTTCTGCCGTTGGATGCTGTAACACACTTTTTAGCACCTTTGCTGTCAATCTTGTGGTAGTGCTCCAAATGTAGTCGCAAGAGTTTGTCGTGGTCAAATTTTAAACCACAGGCGACGCAAACTGGCTCTGAATGGTGGGTCTTGTAGTGCAGTTTCAAGACGTTCGGGTGTTCAAAAATGTCCTTACAACGCGGACAGCGCACTTTCACGTTGTGGTGGACTCGCATGTGGATATGAAGTAGATTCGAGTGTTCGAACTCCTCATTGCACGTGCCGCATTTAAGAACGTGGCGAGTGGCGTTCTCGTGCTGTTTTACCTCGTGGATCTTGAGAGCACGTGAGGATGCAAAGCTCTTGCTGCAGTGGGAGCACATCCACATTCTGCGGGCAAACCCAAAACGAAAGGTAAATGCAATGAATATCGAATAAGATAAAAACTGTGTTTTACGAGAAACAGAAACAGGGTTCGTACAGAGTCTTGAATCATTGAAAAGGTCTTGAAATTTGCGAAGCAATTAAATAGCTGTTTATGAGAAAGTTTAATTCCAGACCTGGAGAAAGTCTGGAAAACACAGATTAAGTCTTGATCAATGGTAAAAAGTCTGGATTTTTTTGTTTAAAGCTACAAAAAGTGCTTCAAAATTAGTGATTTTTTTCCCGTGGTCAAATAATATTCAATCTCGGCAGTAACCAAGACACTCAATCACAAAATGAAAAGTTTTAGAATTTTATTTTGTCCACATTGCACAGTTACATCATGAGAACATCTTGGTTCCTGCGATTTTTAAAGTCTCTATTGCTCACCTACATGGTATTTGATAACCTTGAGTCTGGAAATATTAATTATTGTTTTCCAAAAAAGTTTCAGATATTGGGACCACAAATATGTTTCGCCCGTTGAAACCGTGGGGCCATCCGTTTAATTCAGAGGTAGTTTGTCCATATCTGTCAAAAACTAATTTCAGTTGCTCATAACATATTTAACACAGTTTTAAGTGCACCGGGAATTAGCGTATATTTATTCTAGACTTTATGTAGGTGGCAAAAGCTTTGGAGTAGGCTGGAAAAAGTACTCAAAAACATCAACAGGAAACACTGAATGAACATGGACATTGAATGAATAATGGGCATTGAATGAATAAAGGAGTGCCTGGCCGGATAATCGACTTCTGTTTGATTCTCTTTACAGTTTATGTCTTGAACATGCTTCTGAAACAAAGGGGGGATTTGAATTTAGATCAGGAGTTAATCTGCACATGTTTGAATAATATGGTTGATCAAAGATCTCTCAGAACTGCAGCAAAGGAAGTCATGAGTTTAATACTTTTGTGCATGCTATCATGTGATCTTTTTCAACATGATTAACCTGGCTAAGTAAGTTACCACCATGTAAAAGTTATTTTAAACGTTTCTGGGCAAACTGTCTCTATGACAGTTAAGAAACTTAGCTATACAAATTTGTTGGTGTCAAGGCATTTAAAAAAGGAAAAACTTTCTACCTTCCTTTGTTTATAAGCTCAAAATACAATGTAGCAATCAAGGTTAATTAAACAAAGCTACTAGTATTAGACTTTGAACGATCCAGAATATTATTGTCACTCTAGCCTGAAAATTAAAGATTAAAGCAGTAACTCCCTGGGTATTAAAATATCGGTAAAAAGGAAAGAGCTTTTCAGTTAAGGGAAATACTCATAAATAATTATCTGGCCAAGAATAGACAAATTAATCTCACCTGCAACATTCAGTAAAATTATGCATTTTCACATCATCACTCATGGTTTCCTTGTGCTTCACTTTAGTAGAAATCTCAGTGTCATTTGCTTCCATGGAATGATTGTCAATAGATTTCTCTTCTATGTTGTCGTCATTGTGAGTCATGATTAGTGTTTTGGGAGCAGTTACTGTAGCTTTCTCAGGAGTATTTTCCCGCATAACTTGACGTGTTCAGTTAACTGTTTAATGTTGAACTCAGTTAAATGCACCAATCTTAGAGCCTCTGAAGAGTAACTATATGGAAGTGGTCCTCATATGAGGTCTTCTTCTGCAATACAAAGAAGCATTATGATTTATGAAGCTACATAAACATTCTGAATTATAACCCTCTACTTAAAATTTGATAATAAAAAAATATGACATTGAACTAGTTAATTAACAATAATTAAGTGCACAAATGAGCTTGTTAAAGCTGACCAAGAATTTAAGCCCAAAATTATAATTTTCCAAAAGGTACACTAGTACTGGCTTATATTGTCCAAAATATAGAACTATCAAAGTAAAGGCCAAAATATATAATATACAATAAAAGAGTTCGAATTAGTTACTGTAAAAACTTTAAATTTATAAGCTCCAATAAATTCTACTAAACAGAGTTTATGCAATAAAAAAGTATTGTACAGGAAAATTATGACATTACAATAACACAATGTAGGAACATTCCATTTTAATCACTTTTTTATCATTACAGTTAATAAATTCTAATGTTTTTAGTAAAAACAACTCTCATCTAACAAGAATCAAGATGGTCTTTATTGTCCTTTGTTAACTCAAAGAGCTTAGGCTGGGTATGTGATATTATGCATTGCTGTTATAAATATTGGAAGTATTGCATCTCAGTGGCATTTCTCATTAAATGCTAATTTACTGTTCATGCAATATGTCTGGAAGCTTTGAGCATGTGTACAGACTACCTGACTATTATTAATTTGATACTCATATGATTGTTAGTTTACTATGCTGGAAGTGTGACTTTCAGAGCTCAGTAATGTGACATACTATAAAATAGAAATTGGATTTTAGAAGCCCTTTGTATATTGTCCTAATTGCAATTTTCACTACATCTCTTAAGAGGTGATTAAATGGATGTTTAAAACCTAAGAAAATATGCTTGTCAACACAATCATGTCCCTACCTGATGACATAAATTTGATGAACTCAGAACAAGTTCGTTTTTATCTTATGACAGACCGTATGTCATGTGAAATTGTTGTACATTCAAGTTACAATCTTCAGTTAACAATAGTGACTACTAATGTTCAATCAATACACTGCATTGAAGGATACTTGAACTGTAAGAAGTAGCTGAACTTTGTTGAAGAAAACTGTTATTTTTCAAGACTAATTACACATGCAATACAAAAATAGCATTCTTTAAAGCAATGACAGTCAAAATGTGATCTAAAAATAGTTCCTTTTCTAATTGCACACAACTTTTTTGGTTACATTGGTGAGGAACAGTTACCATATTACTATATTATTCACAAATACTGTCCATCAACTTAAAATTTATCAAATTTTTTTCTCCTCTAGCAAAGAATTTGATAACTTCAGTAAGGAAATAAAAAGTGTTAACCACTATGGTTTTATTGCTCTTCAATTTTATGGTACAATTCACATCAGTTAAATTTGCAAAATGTTATGAGAGATCAAAATACTTCATTCATATCTATATCAATGCAATTACTTGTTTGCTATATTAAGTAACTAAATTTTAATTCAACGAGACTACAGTTGAATCTCCTTCCGTGTGCACCACCACTTACATGTATAAAAGACCAGCTACATGTATATACAAAATTTCCCAGTCAAAGTGCTGGGGTGTGTTATAGTTGAGCCTTTTGTAACCAACCAACTCCCTCCAGTGACCATAATCTTGGCACTAAGGATGCTGGCTACAGGCAAGTTCCAATGCATAACTGAAATATCCCAAAATATTAATTTATATTTAACACTGAATAATTATTAATGGTACCCACATGCCAATAAAAATTTTAATCAAACAGCAAAGCAGATATCATTTTATTTCAGACAATATCCACAAAAATATTACTTTGATAGGAACCTTGCACCTGTGGTAACTGTAAAAAAAATATAGCCTGAGAAAAATTCTGAAAGGAGCACTTCTTGACCTGAAAACAATTTTCGGTCATTTTTACTTTTCAGACGAAGACACTCATGAGAACAATCCCTGGTTGGAATAAAATCTCATGGACATTCATTTTGAGAATTTGAATATTAAAGAACATAAGTTATAAGTGACATAACATTTTTAACAACACTTGAGATTAAAATATCGACCCTTGGCTAAAAATAGCTGTTTAATGTTCAACTTTTCTAAATTTTACAATGCAACATTTTAAGCAACGCTATAACAGTTTATAGTCGCGGTGGCATAATCAGAGTTTTTGAAATCATTACATACAACTCTGAGAGCATCTTGTTTAGCAACAGTTCTGTGGATTTGTGATATTCGTCATGTTGTAAGGCAATATTAAAACGTGTCAAAAATTTTACTTAAAGTAAAAACCACAGTGAGAAAAATATTACAAAATCCTGTATCATGAAGTCGGCACCAAGAAAACCTTTTCTTAGTTCTCAATACAAAATCACGAGAATATACAGTCAGATTAATTACGTTGAACATATAATTGGCAAGACACGAGTCACAGCTTATACATGCTTTGTACTTCGATGACAATAACTAAGGCTGACGTAGAGTTACGATAAAATGCTTGAGTAAACCATAAAATTATGAAAGATATCACATTAAAAACCTCTGCATATCTTCACCTTAGCATTACAAAAATTAGGGAGGTTTAGTGAATACGTATTTGAGAGACCAGTTCGCTTCAAACATACGGTTACGTTAAAATCAAGAATCTAAAAAAATACTTCGATCTCGACAACGAAGCGCGTGTCGGAAATATCAAAGGTCGAGAAAGAAATAAAAATTTTCGCTGTTATAATCTAAAAGTTTTCCAACCAGCTTTGAACTGATTATAGACCTTTCTGTAATCCCGAAAAAGATTTTCTCTTTCAAGGACTCGAGGAAAAAAAAAACAGGAATATCTTTAACTATGAGGCAGAAATATTTTTACTAAGCTCTTTGAGTTCTATGCAGGTCGACGCAGTCGATCACCAAACGGCTTGTGAAGGATTTTTACACTTAGAAACAAAAAGAGAAAATCTCAACGAGGCGGGCTCGACTGTGAATTATAAAAAACAACTCAGTGTTTCTTTTGTAAGAACATTTGAAGGTAAAATATAGCGAATGTGGAAGACTGTCTCGTACCTACCGGAGGTCAACGATCTGGCGAGGGAAATGACATCACTTCAACATCGATGTTATACACATATAAAATGGCACGTATTTATATGAAGTTGAACTCACCGTGAAGAAGAAATTCCTAGACCGCCATAATTTGTATGAATGCTTTTGCGAGTAAACACTTTTAGAGCGGTTGATAATTCGAACGGAGACAGAACACCGTAAAAAAAACAGTCACCGCGCCACCATCAAAACCTATTGAATTACGAAAACTGTGACTTCATCATATGTAAATGAGGCGGTGGTGACGTACGTCGAGTGGAATCTAGGCGTCAAATAATATTTTTTCAGCGGCCGTGACGGAAGTTGTCTGGTTTGCAGAAGCTTTTAGTTCAAGATGGCCAGCCATCAGCAATTGAATTTATGCCACAGAGGGTGATTCCCTATATTCATTTTTTTTCCATTTTACAAACTTGCGTTAAATTCCAAGTTATTTACCCGGGCTGCACTGACAAAAAAACCGGAAGTAAAAATTGTGATCGCCCAAAGTTCCAGATCAATCGAGACTGCCACTTGCACTATTCATAAAAAATCTTTAGTTACACTCCCAGGGTTACACTTCCTAAATAATGCATTTTTAATTCGTTTATTACCTTACAGATTACCCACCTCGAACACCTATAATCCCCTTCAACTGAAATTAAGCTGGTTTATAAGGCTCGTACCTGTAGTTCGAGTTTATGTTTACCGATAGCCTGTGTAGCTCAAGGTACTTTCTTGGTGGCGAAGGAGCCGATTTCAATTTGACTTGCTCCCATGTCGAAAGCAATCCATTTTTGACTTGGGCTAAAATGTTGGTGACTAAGTAAGACTGAGAAGCATGTTGCAACAGGCTTCTAATCTATTTCAAAAGTGATTAACTATTTCAGTGGAGTGGCTCGTGGCGTGCAAGTGTTGCGAAACATTTTTGACTCGGGAGCGTAAACAGTCCATAGACAATGACTGAACTTCAGCAGAACCTGAAGTAAATGTAATCCTTAGACTAAGCGGATACCATCACATTTATAAAAATAATTGACCGCCTTTTCTCAGGTAACTAATTTGCAACAAATTCAGTTTCATTTAATAAGTTTGATGAAAGATGAGTGGACGTGTTGGCGTCGAGACCATTCAACCCTCGATTTCCGCCGCTCCCTCAGGTGCGGTCTTGGTCTTTTTTCGGGGGAAGGATCCCGGGGAAGGATCTCAAACAGCGATAACCTGCGATCAGACGGTCCTTCTTCCCTTGCCGCTTTCCTTCTCCCCTCTTCTTCTCGGAAAAGAAAAAGTTCGGACGCCCGACCCGAGAGAGCGGCGGAAATCGATCCAAGGCTTGACGCGCAAACGGTTGATGCAAAATCGAGGCTGCGTGATAATGGTCTTCTTCCACTAATGTGAGGCGGGGCGAGGGTGGGGTGGGGTGGAATTGACAAGGCAAAAATGACCCTGATGTTCGTCGTCTTGATACAGATTTCGGCTTCACTTATGCTGTTCCAACCTGTGTGCAGATCCCTCCTCGCGGGAGAAGTGCAAAAGGGAAAGTTAAACGAAGAAAATTCGGGCACGACAATTAACCCTGAAAAAATATAAATATCCATGCACTGGCCTGAAAATTTCATACAGGGGAAATTTTAGCGAGAAAAAAATTCCTGCGGCTCGAAAATTCCCCACCCCCATAACTTTTTGTAATGTTCCGTCCCTTAGGGGAAATACCTACCTTAATAAGAATAGCAAATGCAATTGGAGTCAGGTCTCCTTAACCATGGTTAAGGGGTCTGTAAAGACAAATAAAATCTGATCTACGCCCAAATTAGTCTCCTTTAAGGGTTTAAGTATTTCTCTTTTCTAACGAGCAAACCTGTTTAATATTTTTTAGACTACGATTCTTTTCCCTTTGAGCGAAACGCGCGAACTCTACGCTTGCGCGCGTTGCGCTTGCACCGGCTCTCACTAAATCTAAACACAAAGAGAGAATGCAAGCAGTTTAGTTATTTTATACAAGTGTCCTCCTGGGCTATTTCCTCAGCTCTGCTGCTAAATTAAAACCGTAGCGATCGGCCTTGTTTGGTTTTGTCAAAGTCCTTCACTTCTCATTTCCGGTTCCGGTAGTAAAATCTACCGCTCGCGCTTCGCGCTCGTGAAAAAATTTGAGCTCGACTTGTAGGCAAGTCTATAGAAACAAGTGCTGGTTAGACATTGTGTCATTTGCACTTGTTCAGTTTTTGTCAATCTTGAATATACAGTACTATTTTATGTTTTTTGCTGTTCACACCACCAAGAGACTGGTAAAGAATTTCTTTAAACAAAGGCAAGGAACATTCAAATAAGATAAAGAAAATTAGATGTCATAAAATCCATTGTCAGCTTAAGACATGGCCATATACGGAGACCTTTCTTCAAATATACATTGTATCATCTTCGGAGACGCAGGGGAAGATAGTGTGGGCGAGGAAAAATCTAAACTACCCTGGGTGCCAGAGACTTTTCATGGGCGATTTCCGGTTTCGCGCAAGTCTTAAAAAGCTCTCCTCGTTACACGCGAGAAAAAATCTCTGGTACGGCAGGGTAAGTCTAAACGGGCGGGGGAAAAAATGACGCGAAGAAAAATTCAGCCTTGAACGGCGGGGTTTCGGCTCTCCTCCCCGTTCTTTTCTTTTCTTCGCGCCATTTTTTCCGCCCGTTTAGACTTTCCCTCGCCCACACTATCTGCCCATGGCATTGTATGAACTTTGATGACTGGCCGCTAAACAGAGGGTGTCCCTAAATGGGGGTGCTAACTAGATATAGACATGACATCAACATACTCCATTTCGACCTTTATTATACACATACTGAGAAATACTCACCAAAAAGCTATATCGTAAGTTTTCTTTCTTCATACAATGCACTCTTGAAGAAAGTTCTCCGCCAGAGTTAACGTCTATGCCATATGAAGCTGACAATGAATTATATACCCAGGAGAGGGGGGTACTCCCTATAATGGCCCATACAGGGAGGCTCCACCCAGAAGGGGTACCTTTTTTAGGCTTCAGGTGTATAAAAGGTTAGTGCTTTCACTATTTGAAGTATATGAAAGGGAAGGGAAATCACTCATTGTGATCTGTTGAAGGTCCTAAAATTAATAGGTGCATTTTATGGCAGTAAAAAAGACACAAAAACATTCTGGTTTAGTGATTTATGCGTATTTAGAAGACGGTTCATTTACAGCGGTTAAAAGGGATGCAGCATTTTAAACTAGTATGTGAAGGGGGTACCGGTTGTCAATAGAAGATATATGAAAGGGTACCTTTTCTGTGAAAAATGGTATATTTAAGAAGATTAAGGGTTTGGACCTCGGGCCAGAGCCTCCCAATCCAAAATTTTGTCTCGCATGTAAGGTGGCCAATTGTCTTTCACTGTGAAGCTAAGAAAACTGTGCACATCAGAATGTTATCGAATTTCAATCACAATCACAAACTTCATTGAAGAAATATGAAAAGATTAAAAATACCTCTTAAAAAGGAAAATTGTGAGGTTGACATTATATTTATAAGGATAAGTCAATTAGGTGTTTCAGATTGTGGTTTGGGGTTTGCTTGATCCATGAGTGTCCTGATTTAAAACAAAACATTCATGAAATATTTTCAAGACAGTGTTAACGGTTTTGTGAGTTTGACAGCAAATCAGAAGATAATAATATACAAGAAATACAGGAAGACAAATGAAAACACAGAAAAATTTTAATCAAAATGCAAGATTCTAAGTATGCACACGTACAGCATAATTTCTCCCCAGAAACCTTGCCAATAAGCACATGTCTCTCTTAAAGACAGTTTATTTTGTCTCCAAAGACAACAAGCTTCTTACAACATTCCCACGGAGTAACTCTGTATAGCATGCATCACAGATGTAATCTAAACCTTGATAGAAACGTCAGTGAAGCAAAGTAAAGAATTTTGTTCTGGGCCCCCCTACGGACTCAGCAAACTACTTGGAGTGCAGCCTCGTTCCCAGTTGTCCTCGGCGATTTTGGATGTGACGTCACCTGTCAAGCTTGTCGTGAAAATTCGCTATCGCACGCAGTTCCAAGCCTCCTCTGGAAACTCGGATAATGTGAACCAGCCTGGGTACGAGGCTGCTTGGAGTGCCTTTTGAATTTCCTTTAAGCTTGACAATAGTTTTTCAACAGGCCAATCATGATGTGTACTCAAATACCTGGTACACAGGTGGGGCCCCAGAGCAAGGGTATTAGCGCTGTCTTGCAGATGGGCTTAACCAGAATTTAGTTTTTGTCTGTGGCGGAGGCTAACTTCTATAATACAAACACTTCTGTGATAAGGAACATTGACTCTGTCCATTGAGAATTGAATTTATTTGCCATTTTAGCAAATAATGTGTATCACACATGGAAAAAAATGAAACGTCTTCTGACTAGCCACTATATGTTTTGTACATTTTTTAGGGAGTGAGACGATAAACAGTGCAGAAAAATTTCCTGAGGGGATATTTCATTATGTGAACAATTGTGTCTTTCTCCATCATAATAGAATGATCAGCATCTTGAGTCCAATTTTCAATTACAGTTTCTTGCACAAGAGTTCCTGTTTGATTATCATACAGTCCTATTACTCCACAGGGCATGTCTCCAGAGTCATTTGAGTGAAGAACAACTAAGAGGTCAAGTTCATCTTCATAGTCTATATCTAACACCGTTTCATCTGGAATGTTACATATTTGGTCATCACTCCTGGCTTTAATTTCTCGCCCTGAGGAAGTGTACCTGACTGTTTTCGGGCAGCAGCTGTTTTTGTTGTGCAGGTTTAGTGAAAAACAACTTTTGAGTTCAAACGCTGACAGTTTTGATTCCACTGGGCACAACTTGAAACACCTGAAATGTTATAAATCTATTAATAAACGTTTTCAACAGGAGGGAATTTGGAAATGGCTGTTTTGATATTCCAGACAGACTTGCATTGCATTGCTGAATCTTTTATTGAAATTGAGCATGAGATTTTGTAGGCATTTTATTTTGGTGCAGGTATACATTCACCTTTCCAGAAGAACCTTTCTTTCCATTGGTGTATTAATAAATGCATGCTTGCTCTCGGGAAACGAATTTAATGAGTAAGAACAAGATTGACTAGTCTCGAAGTTTGGCCTTAAAGGACTTCAAAGGCTTGATGCATGTCAGGCCTGGCGGGGGGGGCGGGGGGGGGGGGGACTGCCATATATGGG